TCCTGTCTGGCACACACTGGCCCTGACTGCATCATGGTCATCGGTGCCTGTTAGCAAAGCCCGAATCTCTGGGCTCCCTGGTAATGACCAGCCTGCATTCCACTGCCCTTAGCACAGCTGAGGCTGCACATAGCCTGTGAATCATTCGCTCATTCCCAAAGTCGTCCAAAGTTTGAAAGAGGAGAAATATTGCCATGATATTTACACCACGTAGAGCACAATTTTCCTTTCTTCAGAATAGTATAAAAATAAAGAAAATGTTTTGGGATAAACTAAAGGAGATGTGTCTGAGGGAGACTGAGGAAGTAAAAAGAGGGGGAATTCCCCATTACAGGTCTTAAATTGGAGGGAAGGGGGAGCATGGAGGGAGAGAGAGAAAAATTAGTGTTTAAGAAAAAAAATGAATTAAATGAAAGGAATGCTAGGTAACTTGGGAAATTATTTCTTCAAATTCTTAGGTTTTCTTCTAGCATTTCCTGTCAGCTGTCTGGCTATCTACCAGAGAAAAGAAAAATCTCCCAATATGGTTCCTGTGGGAATTTGAATTGTAAGTCTGAAAAATAACAATGGTCCACAGACCAGAGAAGGAAATGGTAAAATTTCTAAATGACTAGAGTGGAAAGATCAAGAATGCAACATGTTGTGTTTTTCCACTTTTCTGTGTGGTAATGCATAGGATACATTTATCTGCTGTGAAGTCCTACCGATGAATTGGAATGAAGTAGCAGCATCCTCCAGTGAAATTATGCATCTATTAAATATTTTGCCACATCTCTAACAATGTGTATTCAGTAACATGTGGGATTTCGGGATTTGTGTTCTCCAATCAGCCAGACTACATCTCAATCCAAGCTCCTCTCTATCTCTGTGACCCTGGCAAGTGATTCAAACACCCTGAGCTTGTTTCCTCCTCTAGAAAATAGGAACAATAACACAGAGTTGCATGGATTAAGTTCATTGAATAGTACCTGCCACATAGTATGTACACAATACATGTTAGCTATTATTATTACTATCATTATCACATCAGTAATAGTTATTTCCAAATATAATAGGAATCTTTGTATTTTCAAATCAATTTTCCTAAGTTCAGGGGGAAATTGATCATCCAGATACTTATGATATGACAAAAAACTTCATAAAAATACTCATCAGATATTTTATTTTTATTTCTCAATACACACACATATATATTGAATTATATATTGGCTAATTATGCAAAATGTATTATAAATATATAAAATATGCAGTGTATTTTTATATCTTTAATTATACCTATAATTTTAATTTTATATTGCCAACCTGTATATTCTAGCAGAGATGACTTACAGAGCTGAAGTTAAATACAGCTCTAGTTTCTTGATATTTCATTAAAAAATAGGGAACAAAGGCCATTGGAATCTATTGCTCTGCATGGCAAACATTAGGCAGTCTCATGAGTGACTGACTGAATAAATGAATGAATGAATGAATATTAGCTGTCTCAGTCAGTTTTCAGGCTATCCTTCTGTTAATATCATTTTCCTCCATACCATTTTTTCAACTTCCTATTCAAATACTGGCTCACTTGTGAAAAGTCTTTGAATTGATCACAAGACAAATATTATACTTAAAAAAACACACAGAGGCTTCCCTGGCCAGCGTGGCTCAATTGGTTGGGCATCATCCCATGCAACAAAAGGTTTCTAGTTTGATTCCAGGTCAGGGCTCATACCAGGGTTGTGGGCTTGATCCTTCGTGGGGGACGAGAGGAGGCAGCTGATTGATGTCTCCCTCTCACATCAATGTTTCTCTCTCCCTCTCCCTTCTTCTCTGTCTAAAAATCAATTTTAAAATATTTTTAAAAATTAAAAAATCACACACACAGAGACTTCCATTCAAGATGGCAGCATAGGTGAATATGATAATTGCCTCTTTCCACAACCACATCAAAAATACAACTAAATTACAGAATAACTATCATTCAGAACTGCCTGAAATCCAGCTGAATTAAAGTCCTATAACTAGGAATTTAAAGAAGAAGCCACATTAAGCCTGGTAGGAGGTATGGAGACTCGAAACGAGCTGGTCCCGCATCCACATGTGGTGGATAAAAATTGGGAGAGCTATCTTGGCAGAGGTCCCCGCCTGAAAACTGAGGGGTCCCAGCTCCACACCAGGCACCACAGCCCAGGATTCCAGTGACAGGAGGAGAAGTTCCCATACTTGTGGCTGTAAAAACCAGCAGGGATTATAGCTGAGTGCGACAGGGCTGCTGGAGTCCCAGGCAGTTCCGCTTAATGGACCCACTCACAGACTTACTCAGACTCACTTCCTCTGAGTTCCAGCCCTGGGGCAGCAGCTTGAAAGGCACCAGGAATATATGGAGAGGAATTGAAGTGTCTGACATCAGAGGGAGAGCTAAAGGGCAGCTTTCTCCCAGACAGAAGTGTTGGCAGAGGCCATTGTTCCTTTTCTGAGCCCTTCCCCCACAGAGCCGGCAGGTGGGCATCATAGCTGAGTCTCCATCTACCTGGTTCACAACTTCATCCCATCCTGGTGATTTCCTGAGACCCCACCCCACCAAATTGTTGGCCACCAGAGGTATTTCCAGTGGCTTTTCTATATGAATGGCCTGTCTTGTCTCATGCTTCAGACTTTCCTAAAATCTTTCAAACAAGTAGTATCTGGCCTCAGCATGCTCCATACCTCTCCCTAAGTAGACCCAGACCTAGCACTAGCTGATCATGGTTCCCAGCTTGGTCTCTCCTTGGCATCTCCAAGCATAGTACAAGTAGCAGCCATCTGCAGATAGCTTTATAGTTCATCCTCAGTGACCCTAGGCCCGTGGACGGCAAACTGTGGCTCACGAGCCACATGCGGCTCTTTGGCCCCTTGAGTGTGGCTCTTCCTAAGCCTTAGGAGTACCCTAATTAAGTTACTAACAATGTACCTACCTATATAGTTTAAGTTTGAAAAATTTGGCTCTCAAAAGAAATTTCAATCGTTGTACTGTTGATATTTGGCTCTGTTGACTAATGAGTTTGCCGACCACTGCCTGGGCAAAACACGGGTGGTGGCTGACTTTGGCCTGCACCTCCTGGGAGGCCCCAAGCCAGTGCACGCAGTGGACAGCTTTAGACTATGTCAAAGCACCTCCACAAGCAACATACTCAATTGGCAGACTCAGCAGGCACAAGAGCCCTGCTAAAGTAAATTCTGCTCTGTGAGGTGGGTCCCTGCATAGCTGATCCTCCACAGTAGTCACTGCCAGTCCTTGCAGCTAGTTGGCCTGGGGGTAAATCCTTCCCATTGATGTGCCAACAGCAACCAAGGCTCAACTACAAGAAGGTGTGCACAGCCCACACAAGGAGGCTGATCTGGAGTTCCCAGCTCGGGTGAATGGAGAGGCTGTGCCACTGAGCCCTACAGGACACCTACTACATTAGGCCACTTTGTATTTGGAAACAACACAGGGAAGCTGCAAAAATGAGGATACAGAGAAACATGGCCCAAATGAAAGATAGAACAAAACTCCAGAAAAAGAACTAAGAAAAATGGAGACAAGAAATCTACTAGGTAGAAAGTTCAAAACACTATAAGGATGTGCAGTGAACTTATTGAGAATTTCAACACCATAAAAAAAGACATGGAAACAAAAAAAGAACCAGTCAGAAATGAAAGATACACTAACTGAAATGAAGTATAATTTACATGGAATCAACAGTACAGTAGATGAATCCAATAACCAAATCAGTGATTTGGAACACAAGGAAGCAAAAAAAAAATACCCAATCAGAACAGCACAAAGAAAAAAAGAATCCAAAAAAAATGAAAAGAGTGTAAGGAGCCTCGGGAACAACTTCAAGCATACCAACATTCACATCATGGGGGTGCACAGAAGGAGAAGAGAGAGAGCCAGAAATTGAAATCCTACTTGAAGAAATAATAACATTAAACTTCCCTAACTTGGTGAAGGAAATTGACATACAAGTCCAGGAAGCAGAAAATCCCAAAACAGATGAACCCAAAGAGGCCCACACCAAGATACGTTGTAATTAAAATGCAAAAGGTTAAAGACAAAGAGAGACTCAAAAGCAGCAAGAGAAAAGCAGTTAGTTACTTACAAGGCAGCTCCCATAAGACTTCAGCTGATTTCTCAACAGAAACTTTCCTTAGAAGGAAATGGCAAGAGATATTCAAAGTAATGAAAAGCAAGGAGCTACAACCAAGATTACTCTACCCAGCAAAGACATCTTTTAGAACTGAAGAACAGATAAAGAGCTTCCCAGATAAGAAAAAGCTGGAGTTCATCACCACCAAACCACTATTACATGAAATGTAAGTCTTTTCTTTAAGAAGAAGGAAAGATTAAAAAGATAAAAAATATGAACAATAATATGGTAATAAATACATATCTATCAATATTTAAATCTACAAACAAACAAAATAAATGAACAAACAGAACAGAAACAGACTCATAGATACAGAGAACATTTTGATGGTTGCCAGATAGGAAGGGGGTATAGGGAATGGGTGGAAAAGGTGAAGGTATTAAGAAGTACAAATTCGTTTTTACAGAACAGTAATGGGGATGTAAGCTACAGGCTTACGGAATATAGTCAATAATATTCTAATAACTATGTATATTGTCAGATGGGTACAAGATTTATCAGATGATCACTTAGTTTTATAATGTCTAATGACTGCACTGTACACCTGAAACTCACATAACATTGTAGGTCAACTATAATTGAAAAATAAAACATGATTTTAAAAAATAAACAAACACATAGTCACATGCCATACATTATGCTTGTCATAATTTTCTCCAATGCCTCTTTTTTTTTTCAAAAACCACCTCAATTCTCTCATAGAGTTACCTTGAATAACTTGAAAGCAAAAGTATTTTCCTACCTACCATAACCAGAATCAATATATCTTCCCCACCCTGGAACAGAGGATGAAGTAAATGTGAAAAGACATCATGTAATAGTCACTCTATCCATCTGTTTTCTTAGGAATTAGGCTCCAACAGGTCTGAGACCATGTCTTCTGAAAATCATGGATGCCCAATAAATATGATTTGAAACTGTGTTGCTGGAAGGACTAAGGCTCTCTATGTGAGTATCCTTATTCTAGGTTACCATGGCCTGAATGGTGCTTATTCCTCATTATATTTCCACTTTCTCTGTTTCTTGGTTTTCTTCCAGACTCCAGTCAAGGCCAGAAAGTCTACCCTTTACTCAGCTAATGGTGTCTCCTCCTTTCTTCATCTTGCCTGCTATTAAATAGAGCTTTATATAGTACCCAGACTGTCAGCCCTCTCAGATGAATTACTTTTTCTGAAAATAAAATAAAATAAAATGATTCATGGTCTTGACCCTTGGGGCTGGAAAGTAATGTCTCATTGAGTGAAAAGGCAGCATAAAACTTTAGAAAAACTGCAATTTATATTTCAGCTCATACCTGCTAACTTTCCAGCAGTTGATGGAAATTATTGTGAAGAAACAAAAAAGAATTTGGCCATGTGGTATGGAAATAGCAATAAAAAACTATTCTGCATATAAAAAATAAAGGAAAGCAATTATTAGTAGTCCAACTACTAGTAGGGTTCAGTCATTGGTTTTTTTGCTCATTCAGGATATTATAATCTCTTTGGGGAAAGTTTATTCCAAAACATTACTCCTAATAACTCATTTGTTGTCTTATTTATGTGAAGTAGATCCACTAATTCTAGCACAGAAAGACAAAAATGTGTAAGTAAAATATATTTGGTTTAAGTAGAGTGTAGGAATGAGATCAAATTATTTTACCAGTTTGAATATCAAAATTCTTAAAGATTAATTAAAGAGGGAATAAAGAGGAATAGAAAACACTAAGTCCAGTCACTCTTCTTATGTGTTTTTTTTGCATATATTTTAAAAAGTCATACATTATTTCAATAGGACAAAAGTAATGGTGTGTATTATTTTAAATGTAGCTGAACTTTCTCCATTTTGTATCTTTTGATTTCTACTTTTGTCCATTTACAAATAAATATGTATTAAATATCCACTTTGTGCAATGCAATAATATAAATAAAACAATTCCTGACAATAAACTGATATTTTAAAAGGCAAAAAAGTAAACAAAATGGCAATAAAATATATGAAGTACAGTAAGTTCTCAAATAACATCCTTTGGTTCAAAGTTGTTTTATTATAACATCTATGAGATGCCGTCGGAACTTGACTCTTGTTTATATCAATTAGGCAAAATTGGTTTCATTATATGTCATTTCTCCACAGTGTTAGGAACCTATAAAGGATGTTAAGTAAGGACTTACTGTATAATAATAATAGAGATTCCACAAGGTCATCGATGGCTCAGGGGAATCAGTAGATAAAAATGAATAGAATATATCAGAGAGACTAGGTTGTGAGGAACATTCTAGAAAGGAAATGAACACTATGCATAATGAAATGAGCACATGAGCCAACATGAAATGTCTTAAGAACTGCAAGGCGAGTGTTATGGCTAAAACATGTGGAAAGAAGGTTAGTGATGAGGCTGCAGAGTTTGCCAGGGCTGTAGTCATGGAGGGTTTTGAATGTCATGTTAAGGAGCGGAGCCAGCTCCATGTCCATGTGACCCGTGCGGCTAAGCAGGGCCCACACTGAGAGGGCCTCCTTGCCCACCTGGTTTCGTGCTCTGCTGTTACCCTCTTGAAATTTTTAATTTTTTAAGAAGCCTTGCATTTTCATTTTGTACTGGGCTCCACATACTATGGCTGTACTTACATTAAGGAGTTAAAGCAATAACTACTTCTAGGAAAAAAAAATAGGGCAGACCCAAATCCTCCTTAGATTATTAGTGGTTGTTTGACTTTAACAAGCTTCAATTGGAATACACAAATGCCAACAAGCCCAAAGAAGGAAGTCTTTGAAAGACCGCTCCTGACCAAATCTGCTAATTGAGTTAAATGACTGTGATTCTTGGCCTGTTTTTGCTGATTCTTGCTCAAATTCAGGTTTTAAAATAATCTTCAGTTCATTACTCTATGAACTTCTAAATATTCTTCAGGACTATCTTTATAAAAACAAGCCCTTTAAACAGCACAGGTAAAATCATTTGGCGTCCCGTTGCCAGAACATACAATGTTTTATTCTCAGCCTCCTAAACTCAACATACTTTCCACTTAGAATCTTAAGCAACACTGTGTAAAGTTATAAATGAGCTTTTGTTTACCTTCTAGTTGTATTATTGCTTATCTATGAAACAACAAATTAGGTTAGATATTAATAATTCATTTACATATCTTTAAAATGGAAGTCTTCAGCCCAACAATGTTTAATTCATCTCCAGAAATCATTTTGAAGTAAGTCTATTTTCCAATATCTTCCTTTTATTTGAAGTATCACATTTATTCAACTCACCATCTGTTTCAATAAGAATATATCATTTCTCCATATGTGTTATTCACAGCAGTTTTTCTACCACAACCCTAGATCATCATAGGCAATATGTTTTCATTTTTCATTGTTTTGTTTTTATTGAAATACAAAATTTATTAAGCACCCTAATCTTAAACATAAATACTAATAAATATACTATATACATGTATATGCACACAAATATGTACATACACACATGTACACACATGAATGTAACCACCATCCAGATCAAGATATGAAATATTTCCAACACCCCAGAAAGGTATTTTATATCCCACTTTAGTTAATACTCCCAGAGGGTTAACCATTAACCTGACTTCTATCATTTTAGATTAATCTTGCCTATTTTTGAACTTCAGATAAATGGAAATTTTAATGTATTTCACTCATCATTATCTCTGTGCAATTCATCCCTATTGTTGTGTGTAATCATATTTTATTCATTTTTTATTATCTGAATATACCACAATTAACTTTTAGTCCACTGTTTATAAATATTTATTACTGAATCTCACTGACTAGTTTTAATAATCACGTTTTTTTTTAATCTAGGCTATTATTTCTTTAAACATTGTTTCTCCTATAATCTCTCTTCCTTGTGCTAAGATTTCAATTACACGCCTACTAATTTTTTATTGGGTCACACATGTCTCTTACACTCTGCCCTATGCATTCCATTAATTTTCCTCTCTGTGCTTCAGTGAGATATTTTCTATGGACTTATCTTCAGTTTCATTTATTCTTTTTTCTTCTGTGCCCAATATGATGTTAATCCCATTCAATTAGTTCTTACTTTTTATTTATTTTTTAATTTATTTTTCTTTATTGATTAAGGTATTACATATGTGTCCTTATCCCCCATTCCCCCCCCCCAACCCCCTGGTGTCTGTGTCCATTGGTTAGGCTTATATGCATGCATACAAGTCCTTTGGTTGATCTCTCCTCCTTACCCCCACCATCCCCTACCTTCCCTCTAAGGTTTGATGGTCTGTCTCTGGATCTGTTTTTGTTCATCAGTTAGTTCTTAATTTTTAAATGAATACTGTATAAGTCACATTTTCCTGCCTCGTTTTGTTTGTTTGTTGTATGTGATTCATTGTATATAGGAGTAATGCAGAGGCTACAGATGATGTGATTTTCCTCCAGGGAAGGTTTACTCTTTGCTCTGTTAGACAGGGTGTTTAAAATAGATTTTATTATTATTTAGGTATGGAAAGTAAAACCTTTCATATGATTACTACTGACATTGAAAAGATAGTTTTATTATCACAGATCCCAAGAGAAGGGAGCATGCACACCACAGGTGCAGGGGCAGGGAAAGCGTGGACCCAGGAGAAAGTTCTAGGCAGGACAAGAGGCAGGTGGAGCAGGAAACTGTGAGCAACAACATTTACTGTGGTATCTGTGAGCAGGATCTGGCAAAGCAGGGTGAACAGGTTTAGAATTGGCTAGTTTGAGTAAGAAATGGGCAAAGGACCTTAATAGACACTTCTCCAAAGAGGACATGAAGGCAAATAGGTGGCCAATAGGCATATGAAAAGATGCTCAACATCATTAATCATCAAAGAAATGCAACTTACAACCACAAGGAGATATCACCTCACACCTGTCAGAATGGCTATCATTAATAAATCAACAAACAAGTGCTGGTGAGGATGTGGAGAAAAGGAAAACTTCATGCACTGTTGGTGAGAATGCAGACTGGGAAACAGTCTGGAGTTTTCTGGGGGAAAAAAACACACTAAAAATGGAACTGCCTTATGACCCAGTGATTCCACTTCTGTGAATGTATCCAAAGAAACCCCAAACACTAATTCGAAAGAATATATGCACCCTATGTTCATTGAAGCATTATTTACAATAGCCAAGATTTGGAAACAGCCCAAGTGCCCATCAGTAGATGAGTGGATAAAAAAGCTGTGATACATTTATACAATGGAATACTACCTGGTCGTTAAAAAAAAGAAGGAAATCTTAACTGTTGTGAATGGCATGGATGGACCTGGAGAATATTATGCTAAGTGAAATAAGCCAGTCAGAGAAAGACAAATACCATATGATTTCACGTATATGTGGAATCTAATGAACAAAATTAACAAACAATAAAATAGAAACAGACTGATAGATACAGAAACCAGACTGACAGCTGTCAGAGGGGAGGGAGGATAGGGGGCTGGGTGAAAAAGTTAAAGGGATTAAGGGAAAAAACCTCACAGACACAGACAACAGCATGGTGATTACCAGAGGGGAAGTGGGGCGGGGGATGGAGATAGAAGAGGGTAAAGGGGATAAATGGTGATGGAAGGAGAGACTTGAAGGTGGTGAACACAACACAACATACAGATAATGTATTTGGAATTGTACACCTGAAACCTATATAATATTATTAAACCCAATAAATTCAACAAAAATACAAAATAAAATTATCATTTAGTTTTCGCTCTGACAGTGCTTCTGTTTATTTATTTCCTAAGGAAGTAGCCCTAGGACCTAGTGCTAAACATCCAGCCACTCTCCCTGCCTGTCACCTGGAGAGCCTTGTGGGCCTCACGTGCCTGCGTGGGCAGCAAGAGCCTAGAGCGCAGCCCTGTAGCTCAGGCCAGAAGCCTTGGGTCCTGGTCTGCACTCAGCCCTCTTGCCTGCCTGTTCTCAGTTCTCACAGTAGACTCTTCAAAATGCAGCCAGAAAGCTTTTGTTGGAAAACCTCTGGTTTGTGGAGGGTTCGGAAGGTGAGGCCTCTCAGGAGGGGTAGTGCCAGGTTCCCTGCCCCTGGTGGGGCCTGCCGCCCAGCTGGGGAGCAGAACCCTGCAGGGAGCATCCCTGGGCTCCCCAGCTGCTGCTGGCTCAGTCCCGCCAGGAAGGAGAGCAGGTTAACTAGCTCCCATGAATTGCTTGTGGTGATCACCTGTCTGCTGCCTGCGGCCCAGCTTCCTAGCAGTCAGCTGTTTACCAGTGATCAGCCCCTCTGCAGCTCTCCCCGTGGACCACG